AAACCGTAGGCAGAGAGAGAGAAGAGGACAACAAACGAGGGGCTATATATATACATATATATTTTTTTTTCTCACACATCTGATGGTGTCTCATGTCTTGTGCTTGTTTTTTTTTTTTTTTTTTTTCTCCTGTGCGTATAGATATTATTGGACCAATGCCGAGTTACACATACATCCATACTTCACATGCTTACGCTCTTAGGCAATAGTTGGATCGCACATTATATAGCCGAACCAATTCAGATTTTCACGTTGATCCAATATTGCAATAACATTCAGTTGCAACACTAAATGAATGAACTTGAGTGGCGAGAGCGAGGATTAGAATCGCTCAGACTGTATTGTCAATGGTACAATGACATACAATTGCAAAAAGAAATAAATGAACTTCAAATGAGAGATCGAGGATTATAAGAAGAAGAAGATGATGTACAGCAGGGAAACCAAATTTTACATAATGCAATCCCTGCAAGTCACGACAATAGGTAAGTACCGGGTCTGATGGCCTGTCGAACAAGCACGGGCCGGTACGGGGCACACAAAAAGTAACCCCCACGCTAAAGTTTAAGATCGCGCACACACACTCAAGGCAAACAAACAGTCGGACTGACAAACGTACTCACACTGAACGCAAGCATACTCTCTCTCTCTCTCTCTCTCTCTCTCTCTCTCTCTCTCTCTCTCTCTCTCTCTCTATCTATCTATCTATCTATCTATCTATCTATCTATCTATCTATCTATCTATATGTATATGGTATCGTGAAGCATTTACCGCTGTGCACGTCGACGTGGGCGTGCGTTTTCAGGAGGATCACATTGTCGTAGTTCAAAACCTCGAATAACTGTATCTGGTCATCGTTCCCGCATTGGGGTTTCGAACTCATCTGACAATCTCTGTCGGAAAACGACGAACCCGCACAACCGAGAAAAAGAGACATATCCATTGTAACGATTCTGCTTGGGTTCGAGATTTGCACGACCAATAAGCAGATTCATGCACTGTTGCAGATGCTCCTCCAGACCAGCAAAAGTCACAGCCTCCTCCAAAAGCGCTGAGGGTCCCGGCCACCGGCTTCTAATCTCGGCGACTGTCAGCTCCTCGTCGCGGAAAGGATCAGTATCTGTCCCATTTCCAAATACTACTGCGTCGGCCCGCACGCCAGCCCTTCGTCGTCGACGGTCCATGTATGGGAAAACGTGAATATTGTTATGTCGCTTATGTGTGAATTTTTTGAAATCTACAAAACAGAAGATTACGGGCTCCGATTACGTTAGCACTGTACCTACTGTACCTCCACATAACGAAAACGAAAACAAATTTCAGAACGCAAAGCAGGCAAAATTTTTTTTTACTGAAAACATATAACAAACACATGGGAGATAGGGCTTGCATATGTATAAACAAAAATGTACAATCATTGAAACCATCATTTTCTCTCTCTCCAACAACGAAGAAACATAGAAAAAAAATAACGAATGGTACTCATCGTTGCGTCACACTGCAAGGATAAAACATGGCAGAGAAATCCTCTCCATTGGAGACAAAATAAGGTGGTGACACGACCAGGCGCCAGACGCTGTCCCGAGCAACCGTCCCGTAGTGTGTGTACAGTATGCGATGCACAAGGGGGAATACGATATCATACATGAAATCACCGTCGACCGGTTTGAGAAGAAAGGTGCTGAAGTACGTGGTTGGCTTAGACATTAGGACACAAACGTGTTCGATGGCGTGGTCGAGAATATAAGTTTATGTAGTGAGTCTAACGACTCGTTCCTCCTCCACGCTGACAACGAAATGACGATCCACCTTCTTGTATCCATTGCGGTATCCCGCTGCAACGCTGACAGGATATGTTACGGGAGTCATTGATTCGTAATAGTATACGGTGTCGCCGCCTGTCAGTTTTGTGGTGTGGTAACATCGGACAATCATTGGCGCGCAATGCATCGTCGCTTCTTTCGCATGGCATTCAAAAAGTGCTGCAATTCACAGAAACCGACACCGTAAGTTATGAACCTAACGATCGACCAACGAATAACGCAAACATGATGTTCTGCATGTACCGCACGGGGAGGGGGAACACACTTTAAACATATATATGGGATGAGCGGGTAGTCGCGATATCGAACACTATCGAATGTTAAAAACCTTTACGATTTTGTGAGTCAACCCACCTGTTTCGGACTAAGTATGAGACGACAGGGATGATGGTTCGTTGACACTTTGGTACTGTTGTCGGCAACCGTCCATTGGCAACACAGTGCACACATCTCCGTGGAGAAAAGTACGGCGTTGCAGCGGCCTGTCGAGTTTGGAGAAATACCATGCGTTGGGTGCTAACCTTTTCACATGCTCGACCACAACGACTGACACGATGCACCTTAGCAAATGACCAATTATATCGAAGTCGGGGGGTTCGCAGGCGTCAGGAACGACATCTGAAAGTTTTTTTACGTGCATTACAACTTCATCAAGGCGATCATGGTCGTCGTACCCCAGCCCCGCCACGACCCTCAAAGCGAGGGTGTCATCGATGAACGCGTAGTACACACGTGTTTTCGTGGCGACAACCCCTTCCCAGTATTCAAAGTCTCTTTCGTTTTCATTATCGCGCTCACACACTGTTTCTCTCACGACGATTTCCTTTCCATCCACAGCCTCTTTCACAACAATTACAACGCCGGCCACGTTATGTCGCAAGGTTGAATAAGTGAATCTGGCAATTACGAACAGTCTCAATTGCTAGCCGACGACACTGCGAAAGATGACGGCAACACAATGCGTACGATAAGCGACGGACACAATGAGTACAGTCTCTCGGCTATAAAAAATAAATATTAATAATTACGAACAGTAGTACATTGGTTGGTTAGTTGGGTGGTTGGATGGTTGGGCGGTTGGGTTAGGTGGTTGGTTGGGTGGTTGAGCGGATGGATAAGTGGTTGTGTGGCTGGTTGCTTGGTTGGTTGGGTGGTTAGGTGGGCGGTTCTGTGGTTTGATGGGTTGGTTGGTTGGTTGGTTGGGTGGGTGGTTGGGTGGTTCGGTTGTTGCGTGGTTAGGTGGGTGGGTGGTTGGTTGTGGGGTTAGGTGGGTGGTTGGGTGGATGGGGGGTTAGGAGGGACGGTTGGTTGGTTGGGCGGTTGGATGGCCGGGCTCCAAAACATGGGGTTGTTGAGTGGTCGGTCAGGTGGTGGGAT